TTTTTAGTAGAGACAGAGTTTCACCATGTTGGCTAGGCTGGTCTAGAACTCTTGACCTCAGGTGATCCACCAGCCTCAGCCTAGCAAAGTGCTGGAATTATAGGTGTAAGCCACTGCATCTGGCTAAAATTTTTATTTTTCTATTTGCTGGACTCTTTGAACCTATCCATTTTGCCTTTTAAAAGTACTTAGGTATAAATATAGATATTCATTAACTCAGCATTGTTTTAATCTGTATTTCTAAAGGCTATTTAAAATGTCAGAAGATCAGACCAAATTAATTCAAAAATGCATACTTGAGGCTGGGGCACAGTGGCTGACGTCCATAATCCCAGCATTTTGGGAGCCTGAGGTGGGCGGATCACCTGAGGTTAGGAGTTTGAGACCAGCCTGGCCATCATGGTGAAACCCCGTCTCTACTAAAAATACAAAACTCAGCTGGGCATGGTGGCATGCGCCTGTAATCCCAGCTACTCAGGAGGCTGAGGAAGGAGAATGGCTTGAACCTGGGAGGTGGAGGTTGCATATCTGAGTGGTGAAATTGTGATTCTTTTTTTCTCTTTGTCTCTATTTTGTGAAATGAGTGTTTTGTTTTTATATTGGAAAAATATTATGTTTTCAAATGTTATACCTATGAAACTAAACACAAGTAATAAGAATATTAGTATATCATTTAATGTGGTTTCTCATGTAGCAGGTCAGCATAAAAAATATATTTAAATGGCTGACATAATTTTCTAAGAATACATATGCATATTTTTTATAACATTATTAAACAGCAGCACCATTACTTTAATCCCTCATTTCATTAACCACTATATACCTGTTCATCATTTGTATTGTCATGTGTTTTTTAAAAATCTAGATGAGAAATATTCGATTATCTGACTTCACTGAATCCTTGAAAAAGATAAAACGCAGCGTCAGCCCTCAAACTTTAGAAGCGTACATACGTTGGAACAAGGACTTTGGAGATACCACTGTTTAAGGAAATATCTTTGTAAAAAAACTGCAGAACATTTTACTTAACAAAAGAGAAACACAAGATCTTCAGTGAACAGTCATCAGCTACAGAAACAGCCTAAGTTTACAGGACTTTTCAGAGTCTTACATATTTGTGCACCAAACTTGAAGATGAACCAGAAAACAAACTTAAACAAAATACACAATGCAAATGGAATTTTTTGTTGTTTAAGGCCTTTCCTTGATGGTCACTGTTATCCCAATGGACATTGTAAGTTAGAGCACAACAAAAACTGATTCTGGTCTTCTTTACCAATATAATCATAATGTAAATAATCATTTGTATATTGTGTGTTGCAGATGAAAGTATTCCAGAGACAGTGAATGGTAGAAGACACAAGAACCTTTGGTTGTTTGTCTTCTGATGTCTTTTTCTTAAAATATTAATTTCTCCTACTTTTCTTTCCTATTGTTGTCTTAACTGTGGGCGATTGGAATGCCAAACACTCTTAAATTTATTTTCTTTTTTTTTTTTTTTTAATAAATTCAGTGTGCCAAATGAAACTTTTTTCCTAAGTAACTGTAATAGGAAAAAGTTTATTTTGAGAATTCGTTCTTCATAAATCTATAGACATTAAACAATTGTTGTGTTCTTTTTACCTTTTATTTTTCTATTACCTTGCTACCAAACAATTTAGATAGCAATATAATAGCAACAAAGCAAATCTGGTAGAATAGAGAAGGTTTGAAGGTTTGAGTTACTCTGTCATGTAACATGTAGATCAGTCCTCATGTGACCTGCAGTATTTTTTTTTTTAAGTATTTGTCAGAAATCTATTGTAGACTGTTAACTTCTTCCTTATGGTATTTATTTTCTGAAAGAATTATTCTGATATTTAAGAGAGCCAATTTTAACTGCTATGAAAATGTTTTCCAGTGCAAGAGAAGGGAAATACTAGGAACTAAGACATTTCTAATTTATTGCTTATTACTTTCCTAATGTTTACAGGATAATTATAAGCCAGTGAAACTACTATCTTTTATTCTTGATAATTATTAATCCCTTCAATGAAACTTTTAAAAACTGAAATTTTATACATGGCATACATTTTTCTAGGTTCCTTGTGCTTGCTCTATTAACTCAAAAGTTCTAGTTCTAGTCTGATCTGCCTTTTGTTCTCCCAAAATGTATAGTAATTCTGTTTCTCGTTTGTATAAATATGCCTGGATTTTTATTATAAAAATGTCATTGTAGGGAGTAGAGACTCATATCATGGCCTTTTAAATATTGTAATAAAGGCAAATAGATATTTGCCCTTAGTTTACTGGTTAAAAGTTTGTTTACAGAACTTTTCTCTGGTGCTTAAATGATGCTATGTAAAATGTCATGGGTAGGAAGAATATTTGTAGTAGTAACAAAAATTTTTCATTTTGGAAAGATTTCTTAGGTTTTGAAAGAGTATATTAAAATAAAATCTTGTCCCTACTAGGTAAGAACCTTATAATGAAGACATACATTCTTCTTAATTTTACTCTTGCTCTTTTTAAAGATTTGTCTGAATATAGAAGATGCATGATTTCTTAGGATGATATGCTTTTTGTAGCCATAAGTTAAATCATGTCTCTTCTCATCATGACTTTGGAACTCCCTGAATAACAAAAGTGAGAGTTGAGATAAATAGAGGAAAAATTTTTTAAGCCAGAGCTATGCATATTTTAGGTGATGGGTAGTATCCTTTTAAGGTCTCAAACATTACAGCATCAATTATAAATTATTAATATTGAAAGGTAGTAATGAAATATATATGATGAAAAGAGTTGAGAAATTCTAAATTAAGACATTTCAGTTAAGCTCATAAAAATTTCATTTTATCTTTGGGAGGCTGAAACATGTGGATCATGAGGTCAGGCGTTTGAGACCAGCCTGGCCAACATGGTGAAACCCCGTCTCTACTAAAAATACAAAAAATTAGTCAGGCGTGGTGGCACACGCCTGTAATCCTACTCGGGAGGCTGAGGCAGGGGAATTGCTTGAACCTTGGGAGGTGGGGGTTGCAGTGAGCCGAGATCGTGCCACTGCACTCCAGCCCAGGTGACACTCCATCTAAAAAAAAAAAAAAAACCCACATTGGTAGGGAGTGATGGAAAATTCTTATTTAAAATAATTAAAAGAAGTTTTAAAACAAAAACAAAAAGTTTTTTAAAATGTCATTTTATTTTCATTTAAAAAGGGATTAACATTATTAATACCTGGATAACTAATCATATTAAAAGACTATGTGGTTCCAGCTCAACTTTTAATATATTGTATCCTTTAAAATTATCATGAAGATTATAATTCTTTTAGGAAAGTTTTTCTTGTTTTTTCTTTCTGTTTTTTGTTTGTTTTTGAGACGGAGTTTCGCTCTTGTTGCCCAAGCTGGAGTGCAGTGGTGCAATCACGGCTCACTGCAACCTCCGCCTCCCAGGTTCATGCAATTCTTCTGTCTCAGCCTCCCCAGTAACTGGGATTACAGGCGTGTGCCACCATGCCCAGCTAATTTTGTATATTTAGTAGAGATGAGGTTTCTCCATGTTGGTCAGACTAGACTGGTCTCAAACTTCTAACCTCATGTGATCCACCCACCTTGGCCTCCCAAAGTGCTGGGATTACAGGCATGAGTCACCACACCCAGCTGGGAACATTTTTTAGATAGCAAAGATTTCAAATGTTAAGAGAGATAAAAGTCAGGTTAATACTATCATAAACATTGAATCAGAAAATCATCACTATATAGAAATTGCTTTCCTGATCAAGTCTGAAGTTCAGCTAGTGCTAGAGAACTACTTTCTATGACTTACTTTAACCAAGTTGTATTTTAAGCTGTTTCTTTCATAGAAGGGCCATGAAAATAGAATAGGAGGAGATAAGGGATTGGTTTGGTCTTTTTCAATAAAGATAGAAGTTGTTGAGGTTTTCTGAATTAATAGTGACTTAGATTGTGACCTTTTAGATTCGGTGTTGATCTCTGTGTTCTATTACTTCCTAAAAGATAATGCTTAAACATTAAGCATTAGTGTGCTCTTCATGTTAATATGGCAGAGTTTTGTAAACTAAATTAAAACATACTGATATATTGGAGTTTGAGCCAAGGGAAAGAATGAGTACTATCTTTCCACGTATCTTAAGGGTAAAAGCTTATTCTAAGATTGTCTGTCCATTGAGATTATTAGATTTCTGACTTGCAAATATGCATTGTGCTCCAGAAGAATTAGAGGAAAAGCAGATACTAGAATTCTAATTGAAGTACATATATAACAGTCTTTGTTTATAGTGTAGAATTCTTTATATTTTGTACAAAAACTAATTCTTTTGGTAAAATGAACCATTTACAGTTTTGTTTTGGACTCTGAGTCAAAGGATTTTCCTTTCAATGTTTGTCTCAATTTTAGTCTGGTCTTTTGTACTTTTCTTTAGAAGAAATGAATTAAAGGGTACAGCTGCATAAAGTGGGGTTTTATCCTAATGTATTGGAAATAAATGATACACTTTATTTTGCCTTTACTTTTTTACTTTAAAACTTTTTGGTGTTTTAGGGGTTGCAGTCTGATAATGAAGGAGTGTGTGTATTGGACTAACTCTCTTGTCAGTAACAGTTATAAACTCTTAACAAAATACAGAAAGCAATGATTAGGCGGCTTTGCAGAACAATTAAAACAAGGCAGAAACTGCAGAGTCCTACATGGAAAAAGATTCAGGCTGGGTGTGGTGGCTCATACCTGTAAACTCAGCACTTTGGGAGGCCAATATGGGAGAATCACTTATGCCCAGGAATTCAAGACCAGGCAGGGGGATATAGGGAGACCTGTTTTCTGCAGGAAAAAAAAAAAAACACATAAAAATTAGCCAGGTTTGGTGGCCCATACCTATAGTCCCAGCTACTCAGGAGGCTGAAGTTGGAGGATTGCTTGAGCCCAGGAGGAGGAGGCTGCAATGAGCCAAAATCACGCCACTGCACTCCAGCCCAGGTTACAGAGACCATGTCTCAAAAAATGAGAGATTCCACCTTAACCAACTTTTACCCATAGGGTAATTCCAGTTTGTGCAGTTTACTTGGGGATAGAATTCAAGTCAAATGTGGTAGTCTTGATGGGCTGAGGAGTCATTTGGGACTTCTAGAACACCCGAAAATTAGAAGAGAAATTTTGGGAAGGAGAGTGCCTCAGAGAGTAAAATCTGCCTACATATTCCTTCCAAATCCTTGGTGGATTCCGAAATTGTGCTTGTGCAGTGTGATTATTTAAAGGAACCCAGCAGAAAGCAAGTTAAAGTCTAAAGAATTCAGCAGAGATTGCAGCTGCTCAAGGACAAACAGTTTGAAATTCAAATTCCACTAAGAAGGACTGAGTAAACAGCGCGGTGGCTCACACCTGTAATCCCAGCAGTTTGGGAAGCCGAGGTGGGCAGATCACAAGGTCTAGAGATCGAGACCATCCTGGCCAACATGGTGAAACCCCGTCTCTACTAAAAATACAAAAATTAGCTGGGTGTGGTGGCACACGCCTGTGGTCCCAGCTACTCGGGAGGCTGAGGCAGAAGGATCACTTGAACCCAGGAGTTGGAGGTTGCAATGAGCCGAGACTACACTGCACTCCAGCCTGGAGACAGAGCAAGACTCCATCTCAAGAAAAAAAGAAAAAGAAGGACTGAGTAAATACTTGGTGTTTCACATTGAACCCCCAAAATACCATTCCTTAAGGAAGAATTAAAGCATCCAAGAACAAAAGGCTGTGCTTTAGCACTAAGGACAAAATGGAAAGAAATTCACTGTAACGAAGCTTAAAATCAAATCTCACAGCATCAAAGTCACCCATTAGTAATTTTAAACTAGAACAAAATACTATTTTAAAGAAGAAAACAATCCAGACTCACCACAGTATTTCCCCAAAGCTCAGTACATAAATAAATAAGTATGCAAAGAAAAACTATGTGATCCTTTTGACTCAGCTTCCCTGATAGAAAAAAAAAAATGTGGTCCATAAACATACTCAATAGAAAATACATAGAAGCAAATGCACAAGTGACCTCTATGAGAGTGATTTTAAAATAGCTTTAAAATATGTTTAAAGAATTTACAAGAAAAGAGATAATGGGTGAACAGATTAGGAGTTTTGACAGAAAAACAGGAATTAAAAACCCAATGGAGGCCAGGTGCGGTGGCTCACACCTGTAATCCCAGCACTTTGGGAGGCTGAGGTGGGTGGATTACTTGAGGTCAGGAGTTCGAGACCAGCCTGACCAACATGGTGAAACTCTGTCTCTACTAAAAATACAAAATTTAGCCAAGCATGGTGGTGCATGTTGATAATCCCAGCTACTCGGGAGGCTGAAGCAGGAGAATGACTTGAACCTGGGGGGTAGAGGTTGCAAAACCTCATCTCAAAAACTAAATAAAAATTTTAAAAATAATAAAACCCAGTGAAAAGTCTTGTAATGAAAAAAAAAATCTGAAATTAAAAATTTCATTGGACGGACTTAACAGTAAACTAGGCACAACAGGAAATACTGAAAAAGCAAGTAGGTTATCAAACCAAAGCACAGAAAGGAAAAAAAAATAGAGGTTTGAGACTTTTGGGACCTTATCAGTTCCTGTAATTTGAAGCAGAGAAGGAAAGGAAGAGAATAGGGCAAGAGAAATCTTGAAGCAGTAATGCCTGAAATTTTCCCCAAAGTGTTGAAAGACAGCAACATACAGATCTAAGAAGTTCAGTGAATGCCCAAGCAGAATAAATACAAGAAAGACTACATCTGAGTACATCACATTGCCAAAAAAAAAAAAAAATCTTAAAAGCAAACAAGGTGGGGAGTGGGAAGGAATAGCATTACACTAGATAAACGAGTGATGGCTAACATCAGAGACGATGGAATTCAGAAAATGATGGAATGACATCTTTAAAGTGCAAAGATTAAACAAAGTTTAACTTAAAACTCTGTATCCAGGCTGGGCGCGGTGGCTCACGCTTGTAATCCCAGCACTTTGGGAGGCTGAGGCGGGTGGATCACAAGGTCAGGAGTTTGAGACCAGCCTGGCCAATATGGTGAAACCCCATCTCTATAAAAAATACAAAAGCCGGGCGTGGCGGCGGACACCTGTAGTGCCAGCTACTTGGGAGGCTGAGGCAGGAGAATTGCTTGAACCTGGGAGGCGGAGGTTGCAGTGAGCCAAGATTGTGCCACTGCACTCCAACCTGGGCAACAGAGTGAGACTCTGTCAAAAAAAACAAACAAACAAACAAACAAAAAACCTCAGTATCCAGGCTGGTTGCAGTGGCTCACACCTGTAATCCCAGCACTTAGAGAGGCTGAGGTGTGCAGATCACCTGAGGTCAGGAGTTCGAGACTAGCCTGACCAACATGGAGAAACCCCATCTACTAAAAATGTCTGTAATCCCAGCTACTTGGGAGGCTGAGGCAGGAAAATCACTTGAACCCAGGAAGCAGAGGTTGCAGTAAGCCGAGATAGTGCCACTGCACTCCAGCTAGGTGACAGAGTGAGACTGTCTCAAAAAAAAAAAAAAAAAAAAAAAAAAAAAAAAAAAAAAAAAAAAAAAAAAAAAATCTGTATCCAGTTAAAATATCCTTCAAGCTGTTAAGGCAATGGCCAGACTCAATGGCTTATGCCTGTAATCCCAACACTTTGGG